TTGTTGATAAATGTGACATTTTTTTTGAAAGTTTACTATCACATTTTTAACATGCATAGACCACATTAATGAGATCTTCTTCTACTTAGCTCTCTTTGTATGATTGAAAAAATGGTCCATCTTTATCATATTAATGCTTCTTTTTTTTTTTTCGTAGGTAGTATAAGATGTATCAAGAATGTCGCAATTCATACTGCTTCCATATTGTCTATCAATGCTGGTGAACACTGGCTCGGAATAGGGGCAGCTGATAACTCGATGTCCCTTTTCCATCGGCCTCAGGAGAGAATTGGTGGTTTATCTAGCACGGGTTCTAAGATGGCTGGATGGCAACTCTACAGGACTCCACAAAAAACAGTTGCAATGGTGCATATTAACTTCCCATTTATTATTTTTCCGTTGTTGTCAAGGCATTCAACCCTTGATTTACTGTTATTTCTGATATAGTATATTTAGCCGAATCTGGATACTGGCCTTTCTTGCGTCTCTTGTGAATTTGCCTCTGGTCTTCCTTCCACTTCAATTTTTTTTTTGCTACTTAACCTGTGTTTCCTCGAGTATTTGGTGCATGACACTTGCTAATAACCTGATGTGGAGCATCGCTGAACTTTGGGGATTTTTATTTTTTATTTTTTTTATTATTATTATTTTTTCTCTATGACTTTGGGAAAATTGGTTGGATTTCCCTACTTCATAATCTAAATGCAGAAGTTTTATAAAAGGATCCCGATTGCTTACTAGTTTTTGCATGTATTTTGATGTTTTCAGGTAAGGTGTGCTAATTCAGACCTTGAAAGGAAAAGGATTTATAGCGGTGGGCGTAATGGGCTACTTAGATTGTGGGATGCAACTATTAACATCTAAGTTCCTCTTCTACGTATTTGTTGTTGTAACTTTGAAGCATACTTGTGCAAGTGCTTAGTTTTTTGTTAGAGGAGAAGTATTCCGTTTCACATTGCTGAGTATTTTGATCGACACTGAGGTTACACAGTAGAAAGTAAAAAATCCTCAATATTGTTGGAGATGTGCTCTTTATGGGATGAGAAAATGTGTTGAATAAATACTTAAAAGCAGTGCGAAACAAGCATTTATGCAGAGTCTGAGAGTCTTGCTTGTTATTTATTGTGGATGATGGGCACTAATAGAGATGGATTAAAGTGTGGATGAATTTTGAGTTCTATGCTTCAAAATTTTGGGCTTTTTCATGCTTTAAAATTTTGAGTTCTATGCTTTAAAGTCTGCAGTTAAAATTTGCAGCAAGATCTTCAGGAGCCAAAAACGGACGACACATCAAACTGGCAAACTTTGTTATCCTATCTCGTTTTCATTTATTTTTCATTTATCCAAGATCTTCATAGATATTGGACGGGTCTATCTCGTTTTCTCAATTAATTTTAGTAGTTGCATGAAAAGAAAAATGAGCTACCGAGGCCGGACTAGTTTTTGTTTGATGGATTTAGATTGCACCTGGTGGAAACTTTGAAGCAATAGCTAACATTTCCCTCCATTTCGAGCTCGTTTAAACCCATTTGTCGGAAGTTAAGAGAGTTGGGGAGTTCAATGAACTTCACCGTTGAATAGGGCACTCTCGAGAGTTAAAACTAGATGTAGATGTGCGAGGAGTTGTTGGAATTCCCAAGTGAAGTGAGCTACATTTGGACATTTTGGCCGGGATTGGGAAATTCGATTGTTCAAGATTATTGTCGACTTGGCTATTTGATTGATTCAAGTTTTGACTGGAAACGAGAGAGGGCAAGGTACTCACGTGGAAGTGATCATGCAATGGATAAGGGTGAAATTTTTTCTTGAAGCTTTATTTGAATTTTCCCATTGAACTGTGTGCTAACTTTTGTTTCATTTTGAGGCAACCAAAAGCATGACATTCTATTGAGATGCATTTTCACTTATTTGTGGTTTAACTTTGTTTTGCTCGAGGATTAGTAGGGAAGGGAAACTTTGTCCACATTTTGTTCAGTTTTTCTAGGGCACAATATAAGGATTTAATTTGCTACTGAAGTATTTAATCTCTGAGTAATTATTAGATATTTTAGACCAGAGAGCAAGCATTTTATGTTCTTGTACGAGATTAATCCTACGTGATTATTTGAGATATTCTCACAACGAGTAATTATGTTATTATCAAGTTCGAGAAAGATAATTATCTAAATTAGGAGAATCAATCGTATCATAGAAATTGGATAATACATTAAATTGCTTTTTAATAAATTAATTGGGCAGCAATTGAGTTAATTATGAATCCCAACACGTTTTCAGTTAAAATTTTTCAAAAATTCACGTTTACTTGCTTTGATTGGTTCTAGTTGCCTTTAATTTAGTTAATTTGTTAAAAATATCAAATTAATTTTCGTGTTACCCGATAATTTAATAAATCTAGAATTAAATCACCTAAGCACAAGTATGAATCCTCGTAGGATTGAAACTCCTAATCAATTTATAAATCACGACCTTCTTTGGAAGGTATCTGAATCTCGATGAAAGAATGAATTGAATCTTACATTAAGAATCTTCTTCTTCAATTCCAAAATCTTGTAAACCCTAATTTTTAACTCTTTAATCTTGATTTTTATGCTTTCTCTCTAAAATTGTGTGTCCTATAAAGAATGATTAAAACTATATATAGAAATTCATAATAACTCTAAAAAGGAATCCTAAAGCATCTCTAATATGGAATTTGAGTGCAATTAGCAAATCATCTAAAGCTGGAATTTTCTTTCAAATTTCGTGCACTTTGTCCTCCATTTTTAATTTATGTGCATCTCATCCAAACTTGTTCAATCCGAATTTTCTCTAAATCAATCATGAAATAACGTACTCACACACACACACACACACACACACACTCACTCTGGTGACATGACATACCATGATCTGAGTGAAATATGTACTGATCGTTGAATTTGTTTAAATTAAAGATCACGATTATTTGTCAAAAATACTTGTCAAAATCATGTATAGGAAGAACGCTTCTCATATATCGGTGACTTGACACACCATTTAATTGGTGAATTATTAAATTTATGGAACCTAACATTAACTTATTCAGCAATTAAATAACGTGCCATATCATCGGTATTTAGAAAATCATTTCCGTACGTGTATATATATAAGACAAAAGTGGTCTCTTCAACTAAGTCTTTCAAAGATTGCATGGCCACATGAGTGGAAAGGTCAAAGAGGAATGATAAAGGATAAGATCATAAGAAATAGATCAGACTCTGTTGACTTGGGTTAATACTCTGATAGTTCGACATGACCATTTGTTCAACTCTAGAGTGGGGGTAGGGGCGTTGACGAGGCTAGAAGACTTGGCCAACGACTTCCAAGTTCTGATATTATTAATGCAGTTCTAAAAAGTTTGATTCATCGAGAAAACTAATGGGGTCGCTGCCAATGAAATGCTTATTGTTGGCTTTTACAATTTTATTACAAATCAATGGATTCCATGGTTGTATTGAGGAGGAGAGAAGCGGTCTTCTGGAAATTAAGACATTTTTTCGAATGATGAATGGTGAAGAAGACACTACGCTTCTTTCATGGATTCATGGAAAAGAGAGTAACTGCTGCAACTGGGAGAGAGTCACCTGTGATCCAACTACTGGCAGAGTAGTCGAGCTCGATCTTAACAATTTACATATTTCAAATATTCTTGATCCCCAAGATAATTTTCTTAACGTCTCCTTATTTTCCCCTTTTAAAGAAATAAGAATTCTTGATTTGTCGGGAAATGAATTAATGAGTTCTGCTAGTACTGCAGGTAATTAATTAGCCTAGTATTCGCATATAAACTTACTTATCATCAGAGGTTAAGGTTTTATTATGCAATAAACACCATCTTATGTACAGTTAAATTACTATAGATTTAGTAGAAGATTAATACAACATTGATGAAATCAATCAGCGCATTCTAAGCAGGTTTTATAAAATTGGTCCATTTGAAGAGGTTAGAGAAGTTAAACCTTGCTGTTAATGCGTTCAACAACAGCATCTTCAAGTCTCTTAGCACACTCAAGCCGTTGAAGTTTTTGAACCTCAGTCACAATAATTTTGAAGGGCTTCTTCCTGTACAAGGCATGTAAATTTGTATTAGTAATATATTGATAATTCGCATTTTATATAAAATCAACCGTTCTCAACTTGTTGGACAAAGAAAAGTTTTTCTTCTTATGTTTTGATCTTTATCGATTGCAGATCTATCGACTTTGTGGAACTTGGAAATATTGGATTTAAGTCGTAACAGGTTTGAGGGTAACCCCTCGTTGCAAGGTGAATAATTTTAGATTTTTAGCATTCAATTGGTACACAACATTCGACACTACAGTACAAGTTTTTCTTTAATCCCTATCCAGTACACTCTAATTCTTCAATTATGGTATTTCTCAATATTTACTACACTTGTTCTCAAACTGGAATAAATTAGGTGACGGACACAAAACTGGACTACAAGCCGGGCTAATATGTAAAAAATAATAATAATAAATTTACACATAAAACTTTTTTTTAAAATAAAAAAATTGTTTTATCCATTAAAAAAATTAAATGGGCTGCCCAGTCCCCCCTATATGCATACATCCCTAGATAAATCATAAACAAGTCATAAAGCCAGATACATAAATTATTACATTTGCAAGATAAATATCGCATGTTTAATGAATTCAAAGGTACATAAGTAATTTCAATTCCAAGATCTCTGTTTCATTTATAGTAGTAAGGCATTGCTTGAGTAAGTTTAGAAACTGGTCACATGGAAGATCAAATCATGAACACGAGTTTTAACTTTTTATCTTGATTCATTCGATGATGTCGTGGACTTTCTGCAGATGCAACGAGTTTATCCCAGTTGAGAAAGTTGGAGCACCTGGATTTAAGCAATAACTATTTCAACAAGGACATTCTGAAATCAGTGAGCAATCTAACGGCACTTATATTCTTATCGTTACAAAAAAATGATATGGAAGGTCCAATTTCAAGTAACGGTACGCTGTCTTTATTGAAATTAATTTCGAAAACTTCAAAACTAGATAAGAGGTTAGCAGAAATAAGAAAATTATTATGGCATTCAAGTAATCGATCTTTCTGCAGAATTGGACAACCTGAATAAGGATCTGGAAGTCCTAATTTTAAGAGAGAATCAACTAACTGGTCATCTACCTATTCAAGGTTAGACAAAATCTCCCTTGAAGCATTAAGAAGAGTAAATCAAATCTCTTTTCCAAAGTCTTGACCATTAACTATATGAAGGTTTTTTTTTTTCGGGGCCCAGATCTTATAGCTTTCAAGAACTTAAAGGTTCTAGATTTGAGCAAGAACAATTTCACGGGGAGCATACCTCAAATTATCGGGCTCATGTCCTCCCTTTCGGCACTATCATTGGCAGAAAACAACCTTACGGGTTTCTTGCCCAGTAAAGGTACAAGATTAAACATATTGAATCTATTCTATACATATTTACTTTAGGAGAATTGCATTCACGGTCAAAACTTTACTTTACCCTAATATTCCATTTGTGGCACTCATAGTGCCAAATATTTCATTTTACAGCAAAGTTGATCAGAAAACTTGACTTTCACCATGCTTTCATCAATTTTAAAAGGGTAAAATTGTAAATTTACATTATTCCATATTAAATTAAATAATTTACGTTTTCTTAATCTGTGTGAAAACGAAAGTAAGTCTATTTTTATATGATGGAGGGAGTAGAGTTTTTTTTATTAAAAATACACAATAGCATTAAATCTTTTAATACATATAAAATCGTGTTAATAGTTGATAAATACATTATTACTATTAAGAATACATAATAGTTTAATACATGTAAAATTGTGTGTAATAAAATCAAACTCCGCTATATATAAAATAAATTGATTTCCATTCATATCAATCTATGTCTTCTATCAAGAAAATTAAATTTCTATTCAAAATGAGAATCCAAAATGTGGGAAATTACCGAAAACTTATAATCAAACTCCACTATATATATAATAAATTGATTTCCATTCATAATAATCTATGTCTTCTATCAAGAAAATTAAATTTCTATTCAAAATGAGAATCCAAAATGTGGGACGTTATCGAGAACTTATTTGATACTCTTGAAGATATTTGGCTGCTTGACATTGTTATTCTATCATTATATAGTTAGAGTTGGAAAATATTATTTTTAATGATAAATGAAGGAGCTGATGTTTGTGATGTTGAAGAAAATGAAATTGGGACAATTAAGGATTAAAATAAAATGTTTTAGTATTTTATTTTATTTTATTATCATGATTCTATTTTTATGATATATATATATATTGCTAAACTTTTAAGGACTCTTATTCATACTCCATAATTTGCAGGTTTTTGTGAACTTAAAAACCTTCAAGAATTAGACCTCAGTCTAAACGCCTTTGAAGGACAGCTCCCTCATTGTTTCACCAACTTGAGCTCTATAAGAGTTTTAGATCTTTCTATGAATCGATTCAAAGGGGACATTTCCTTCATAATATCCAACCTCACATCCCTGCAATACATAAGCCTAAAGGATAATGAATTTGAGGGTAAATTATCACTTAGTTTATTGGCCAATCATTCTGAGCTGGAGATCGTTGAACTGGGGAATATGGGAAAAATGGATGTTGAAACTGAAAATTCAAATTGGACCCCAAAATTTCAGTTGAAAGTTCTTCTATTATCCAATTGTAACCTTAATAAACTCGGTGGCAATATCCCCACTTTTCTTTCACACCAGTACAGGCTAAAAGTGATTGATCTCTCGAACAACAACCTGCGAGGAAATTTTCCTAATTGGTTGCTTCAGAAAAATGCAGGATTAGAAGTTTTGAACTTAAGAAACAACTCCCTTGTTGGCCAGTTATCACTGCCTCCTCATCATAACAATAGCATTTATTGGTACGATCTGTCAAACAACCGGTTCACTGGACAGGTAGGGGAAGACATGGGAAGAAAGCTTCTAAGCATTGAATATCTTAACCTATCTAGAAACTATTTCGATGGTACCATTCCATCCTCATTCTGCAACATGTCAAACTTGATTCAATTGGACTTGTCTTTCAACAACTTCTATGGAGAAATACCAAAAGAACTGATTGCAGGATGCATCAATTTATCTGTTCTCAAATTATCAAGCAATAAGTTCAAAGGGGAAGTATTTGATACTAGCTTCAATTTGACAAGTATAATAGCTTTACGCCTAGAGGACAACCACTTCTTTGGAACTGTGACAAATGTTATCACTAGGAGCTCTATCATGAGTATGCTGGACATTAGCAACAACCATATCTCAGGTGAAGTCAGTTGGATATCTAATATGACAAGCTTGATGACTGTCCTCATGTACAATAACTTCTTGAGAGGCCGGTTACCGTGTCAACTAGGGGTATTCGGGCTTTTAGACATCTCACATAACTCTCTTTCGGGACCTTTACCATCTTGCTCGAACATGCTGGGTCATATAGTTTTACAGGGAAATAAGTTCACCAGACCAATACCAGATGCTTTTCTAAATTCATCATATCTACAAACATTGGATATGAGGGATAACCTTCTATCTGGTACAATCCCCAACTCATTCCATGCGCTCTCCGACTTGAGGGTTCTTCTGTTGGGGTCAAATCAGTTGAATGGCTCCATTCCCAACCACATATGTAATTTGAAAAAAGTCTCCCTGATGGACCTGTCCCACAACAAATTCTCAGGGATTATTCCTCATTGCATCAATAACATCTCTTTCGGTAAATTTGGTATATACGATCAAGTATACAGCTTGCACACCTACCTTGCATGGAAAAAGCATCCAATCTGCACATATGGGAATTTCTTGGTGAGGACTTATGACCAACAGAATGTAGATGATGAATACGACGAATTAGTTGAAGTCGAATTCGTTACAAAAGGAAGGCGTGGCTCCTACAAGGGAAACATCCTCAACTACATGTCGGGATTGGATTTGTCATGCAACAATCTAACAGGAGAAATCCCACATGAAATTGGAGATTTGGGTTCACTTCATGCAGCAAACTTGTCTCATAACCATCTTAAGGGTTCCATTCCTAAAATTTTCTCTCGTCTTTCCCAAATAGAGAGTTTAGACCTTTCCCACAACAGATTAAGTGGAGAGATTCCACCGGAATTGCTGAATCTCCACTTTTTGGCGATGTTCAGTGTGGCTTATAACAACTTATCAGGTAAACTTCCAGAAATGAAATCACAATTTGGGACTTTTGATAGGAGCAGTTATGAGGGAAATCTGTATCTTTGTGGACTTCCACTGGAAAATAAATGCTCTTCCATTGGGGAGTTGCCAAAATCATCATCCAGTTCAGAAAAAAAGGATAGGAAATGGTACAAAATAGATATAGCAGATTTTTATCCCACTTTTATTGTTTCCTACATTGTGTTCTTTCTAGCAGCAATTGCTGTTTTTTATATGAATTTCTTTTAACAAAGGTGTTCAATTTGTGGAGTTGTGATACTATAAAGTGCTAGATGATTTTGTACCTCTTATATGTAAGTTTGGGATACAAGTGAAAGGTCTGTAGCTGGCAATTAATAGTTAACAAGTGTCAAAGTAATCATTTGCTTGTATTTCTCTTTGTTTCATTTTTTTCCCCTATCAATTCCTCCCCTTTCGACATTTACCATTTATATGATGTATAGACAACCTTTTTGGTTCCTTGCCCTCTCAAGATATAAGATTAACAACATTGCCCACTCATTAAAGGAGATCATTGAACTAATGAAAACTGGAAAATTGGATGTTGAAATAGATAATTTAAAATGGACCTCAAATTCCAGTTGAAAGTATTCATATTGTTAGTTCATTGATTTGTCCAACAACAACCTACAAGGATGTTTTCCTAATTGGTTGCTTCCGGAAAATGCAGAATTAGAAGTTTTGAACATAAGAAACACTCTTTTGTTATTAAACTAAGTAAGAATTTTATGCTGAATGATTTATTACATAATCAATCATATATATACAGGGTTGCAGTCCTATAAATAGAAGGAAAAGAAAAAGGAAAGATAATAAAACCGTTTTACTAAAAGATAAAACCTAACTAGACTAGATATGAGGTAGAATGAAGTTTCTAAATCCTATTCTAAGATTTCTATTACTACTCTCTTCTCTACAAGTTAGGTGCATCGACATACACCCAACTGGACAGGTCCAATTTTCTCCAACGTTATTAATGCACGTATTCCTCCAAAATTCGTAATAAACAATCTTATTAATATAAAAATCTACCTTTTCTTCTTGAAAAAATGAGATTCAAAAGCTACCCAATACAACAAAATACAGTGCAGTTTCTTCAGATCTCAAATGTGAATTAGACGAACCAGGAAATAATTACATTATTTAGATACCTGAAAAACTAAAATAATTTTCAATTTTGTACCTTTATTAGTTACATCTCGGACCTCGGCGGCGACTTGTTTCTTCTTCTCTTCAGATTCAGGCCATGAATCTTGGTTCGGCAGGCACTGCTATATCTTTGGATTAAATTTCCTGTTTTAAAAATGAGTGACCCATCATTTAACATCAAAGTATATATTGAATTTAAATTTCATAACAGAATGTCAAATGTTTAAATTTAACTGAAATACAGTAATTCGATTGCTATAAATTAGAAATAGATGATCCAATTGAGATTTATTAGGTGATCAAAATTACAAAAAGAAAATTTAAGTCTTTTAATTTGGATTAGATTTCCTCGGTTTTGTTTTTCAATATTTTCTTTTTGAAAGAAATTGCATCATCTATTTAATTATAAATTATATTATTACTAAATTTATTAAATTGCATTTATTTATTTTTCTTTAAAAAATTACACTTAATACAACAATTGAAGAAGTTATTACATTTTACATAATATTTGTTTGGTCCCTATTATTTTTAAAATAAAATTTTCTCTTATCTTATTTTCACATACACATTTTTCAATAAAATAATATTACAAACAAATCCAATAAAATTTATTAGTTTTTTAACCACACATTCTCCATCAAAACACTATTCAAAATAAGTCTTTAACAAAAAAAAAAAAAAAAAGGAGGGTCAAACATGCATTAAATAACATGAGTTGCTACTAATTTTACTTCAATTGCATAGAACATTTACATACTCAAGAGTCACATCCCTATAAACTACTCAGTTTTACCTTAAAAATTAATGTCAATCGAATCTTATATTACAGGCAAGTTTAGATCAATTATTAATTCATTGACATTTAGAAAAATGTAGAAATAGAAGGAAATGAAATGAAGTGAAGTACTCAACTGCAAATCTTGTTAAAATAGATTTCGTCCTTTTGGTGCTAACAAGATCAAATGAACGTATGTCTCCTAAGATACAAGACTTCTTTCTAAATTAGAATAGCACCTTATTCATTTTGTCTTACCAAAGTACTAACAGTATTTTTTACGAATGGAATAGACACGAATTAAAATTGCTTGAAAGGAATTTTATTTTGAAAATAATTTGATCAATAATTTTTTATTTCAATAAAATAACAAAAACAGAATACTTTGAAGAGAGTCGAGAATTAGAAACCATTTTTCTTGAATTGATTTTTTGAAGGAAACACAGAATTGGGTGTACCTATTTATAAAATTTTCAAGTATCTTTTCAGAAATGTTGCATCTTTTACATAAATTAATGTGAACCATTAGATCATACATTATAATAACTAGTGGTCCAGATTAATGCCTCTTATCAAAAGGTCATAACTTTTCATTATGTATATTTATAAAATGTCCACCCCATTCGAAAACAACTTGGCTTTTTAATATGCATTGTTTGTATTTGAAGAATCGTGACTAATCATCACACCAATTGATAACTTTTTCATTTCACACATATTCGTAATAATCCCGTAAATTCCAACGTGGCTAAATATCAAATTTCCAATATGAGTCTCTTTGCTTATCTCTGTTGCTTCCTCATAGCATCTAATGGTAAACATTTTCTATTTTTTTGCACATGCATGAAGCACATATACACGGTTAAATCGTTAAATTTAAAAGCTTAAACTATTTTGTATGTCTTTCAAATCTCGTCTTCAACAAAGTCACATGTTTAACCAGAATTTCATTTTTCTTATTAAATCCTAACACGTGTATATTATTAAATATGAGATTTGAACCCATGATATTCGTGTCAATATTCTCACTTGGAGCAAATAATTACCAACTTAAACTTTCTCTCTATATTGACAATATTTATAAGGGTATGAAAATGGTGTTGCTACAGTTGTCGTATTTATTATCCTGTTTTCTGAGTGATTACACCTGTTTTTGAGAGATTTGAGAGAAATCCAAGTTCCTGTGTGGGATTGTTGTAAACTTCTTGTTGGTGGTCAATCTACGTTTGTGAGCCTCAAAGGAAGATGTCGTCACGTAGACAATGCATTTTGTTGAACATATCGTGTTCAAATCATTAAGCCACCAATTTGTGCGCAAAGCAGATCAAGAAAACATTTTAATGGATTCTTATCCACAGTAGTAGTAAACTCAATACTATAAATTCCGATTTCTCCAGGGCAGTAGGCTACCTTTTTTTGACAAAAAATGGTGAATTCACATGCTCGTCCTGATGGGAAGCAATTCCTACAAGCTCCTAGTGCGTTCTGCCATTCCACTCAAAATATCCTCTCTCTTTTTTGTTCGCGAATTTGGCACAATTCGATTCAGGTGAACGAAGTCCTACAGAAAAAATGGAACCTTCAAATGGCATCATAAGAAACTATTTCACATTTGCTGTGTTGGGGATCCTAGGAGTTCAATCAACCAAAACATCAACCAATAGAAGATATTCTAAGGCAAAACAATGAAAAAGGGATGGAAAAATACAACCTGTCTTTGGCCGAAATTTCTGCAGTTTTCCTTTCTCGTTTCAGCAGCTTCTTCTTCGATTTATGGGTGTTTTTCAGGCTCAGGAACAGCCTCCATGACTTGCAAATCACCTTCCAAGAGAGAGGGGAAAAAATCCGGCAAAGAACCACCACCTTAAGCTAAAACCGAGAGCTCCCCTTCTGCTGGGAATAAAAAAAAAAAAAACCGAGAGCTTCCCCTTTCTTTTGAAATGGTAGAGAGTACATATGAAGGGGAAGGAAGGAAAGACCATGCCTCTGCCAAAACGTGGGAAGACCTCATTGTGTCAACATCAATACCATCAAGTCACAACATTGGGTGGGGTTAGGTGAACCATATCCTCACATTCTTCACCTTGGTTCTCCTAACACTCTCTCTTGGTTGCGAATTTGCACATGGAAGAACTGTTCATCATCATCGCCCACCACCTGCAAGAAAATTAACCAGTGTCAATGTGTAATAAAGATAAGCACAATCTAAATTTACTTGCAGGTAGAATTTTTGTTCCCATGTCAGAGGGATTTCTATCAGTGTGAATTTTAACAAGATTAACTTCACCTTGAGACAGTTTCTCACGTATAAAATGATACTTTACCTCAATATGTTTAGTTCTTTCATGGTAAACAGGATTTTTACAAAGCAATAAAGCACTTTGACTATCAGTAAACATAACAGGTGTATCATGCATGAAGTTCAATTCTTTTAAAATTCCTTTTAACCAAGTACATTCTTTAGCCGCCTCAGTTATGGCAACATATTCTGCCTCAGTACTTGACAAAGTAACTAAAGGCTGCAGCTGTGACTTCCATGTTATACAATTGTCACCTAGTGTAAAAAAGTACGCTGTGGTAGACTTTCTGCAATCCTTGTCACCAGCAAAATCAGAGTCTACATACCCCTTTAGAGTAAGTTTTTCAGATCTCTTTTCATACACTAGACCCAGATTTAATGTTCCAACAATGTACCTTAACAACCATTTCAAACCTGCCCAATGAGGCTTTCCTGGGTTTGACATAAATCTGCCAAAAAACTTATAGCATAGGCTAAGTCAGGCCT